TTCCTACATTGGTATTTAAAATAATATTGTCCTGGTACAATTTCTTTAAAAGTTAAGATTGCTCTTTTATGCAAAATCTCTCTAGATCTTTTTGGTATAGTTGATAATTGAAAACATGTAGAAATGAATTTATTCATGTTTCTTTGCCCTGTGAGGGAGAAAAGAAATGATTCTCCAAGTTACAATTAGTAAAAATATAATAATTATAGTTATCATTATTGGTTTCAAATACCAAAAAATACTAAATCCTGTTCCTATTACCCCTTTAACAAGATTTGCTAAAGATTCAGCTATGCTTTGAACAGTTTTACCAATTGAAGGTAAAATAGGAGTCAATATCTTACCAAGTTCTTTCAGCCAGTATGGGAAATCTCTCTCGTGGTCTTGAATATTGAGAAGAGAAAGCCTAACTCTTATTAATATATCTTGCACTTGCTCGTGGGTGGAGCATAAGGTGATTTTGAATTGTTGTAAGTGAGCCAAGAAAGCACTCATATATGGAAGTTTTAAAGATATTGGGGGTATGTGTATTTTAACGATATCTGTTAGTTTATAATTTTGTAAAGGAGGTTTTAACAATCTTCCATAACAGTAAATGTCATAATCCGTGGTTACAATTAATGGCTGTAAAGCAGGTAACTTGCAATCTGAATAAGGACTCATAATTAAATAAGAACCATTTCTTAAAGATTCAAAGTACAGATAATCATTTTGTATTGGTTCTATATTAAGTAAGCAATCAGCTGATGTGGCAGGATTATTTCCACAAGGAGTCTGTACTTTTACATCTTCACATATTACATAACTTTTTTCTTGGCATCTAGAAACAGACAAATAATATATCTGATCACATGTCTTTGATATATATTGATATGGATGTTGTATTGTTATCTTTGCCAACTTTTCACCTGTTTGTAACAGGTGACCTATATTATCAAGCTTCCAATTCGTAGTGTATATTTCACCTGGAAGAGTTAACTCATAATAAATTTTAACTTCCCACTGGCTAACCTTGGCATTGTTTAAATGTTTTGTTTCTCTGATATCATAAACAAAGGTCTGAGAAATGTGCAATAACACTTCGATTTGTTTCTTAGTTAATTTTAACCTTTGAAGCACTTTAGTTATGTTAACCAGACTTGTATCAATTAAACCATTTTGTAAATTAGATCGAATATCAAAAATCTTCTGATTCAACATAGATATTTTCACACTTTCTTCTAGTGTAGAAATATCATATATTAATGCTGCAGTAAGCGTTATCAGGTGGTCTTTAAGAATCAATATACCTTGACGTAGCAATTCATCATTTAGATCAGAATAATGGGATACAACCTGAATAGCTTCTACAAGTAATTGGCCAGTATATAGGAAGGAGTTTGCATTGGTTAACAAAGTCCTTCTTCTGCGAGACACACGTCTCATGTTACATTCATCTGGATCACTATTTTGTATATTTTTATATGTAATATCTAAAAATGTTTTATTAGTAGGCCATGCTGCGATTGCAAATGGCATCTCTGCAACATTCTGTAAAGTACAATTCTGAAATTCACAAGGTCTATCTTCATTAGCGATTAAAACATACATTTGAGTTTTTATACCATTAATTACAATATCTGAATTATATATCATACTGTCACTGACACATTTCTGATACAGGGAGTATACTAAATAATTTGCATTAATACTTATCGGTTTCCTCTCGATGCACCACATTCCTGGAAGTCCAGAATATAGCAAAAATCCTTGGTCTATGTTTTTAGGGAGCCATTTAAAGTTCTGATTGGTATAATTATACCAGAGAGAGCAAGGAGCACAACGGTAGATTATATCTGGATTAGAACCATTACAGATTCCTTGTTTTATAAATGTCTCTGTAGTTATGTTACAGGAATTCCTTGCTTTGCAGGTATGTACATAATATGTGGAGTTAAGAAATGCTGCAAATCGGGGTTTAGTACAAGTGTCCCAAAAGTGTTTCTTTTGCAAATATGCATCAATTTGTTTCCACAAAGAAATATGTTTCAACGGTTTACGTTGTGCTGTAAGAAAACCATTTGAGCGCCAGACTGAGAGATCTTGTACAGTGGATCTTGCGAGATAAGCTGAGTCTGTCACTATCAAAACCGGCCCCACTATTGACATACTTTCCTTTAAAGCATGTGTATATGCATATATTTCGGCATACTGTGCTGAATGATCACCTATGGGTATTGACCAAGTCTGATCTACCTGTCCTGGTACACATTTTACAATACCGCAACCTGCAGATTTATTTTTGTTTTCGGCTAAAGAATTTACAGCTGATCCATCTGTATAAAATATAGCTTTATAAAAATCATTAGGGTGTGTCTGTCTTTCCCATTTATTTTCAGAATCTGATGAGGTTGGTAGATCATCTAATGTTGGTAGTGTTTTGTCATGAATAAAGGTTAGTTGTGGATCCTCTAACAGAGCATACCAGTTGAGCCAACGGCTTTTTAAAGCCTTTCTTTCTGTAATTGTTTGTTTCTGCAGAGCATTTAGTGAAGCAACAGGTGTAAATAACACAATCTGTTGTCCTTGAGCTATGTTTCTTGATTTTAATAATGTAATCGAAATAGCTGTCAAAACTTTTTCCAGAGGAGTATATTTTAATTCAGTTTTAGTAAAAACATAAGATAGTAGACATAAAGGAGTCACGTCATTATCATTATATAAACGTGCATATGCTACATGTGGGGAACATGTGATTATAGCTATAAGCTTTGTATCACAGTTTCGTTGGGCAAGATATGATGTGTTATTCACAGCATTAATAAGAGCTTTTAATGCTTTGTCATTTTCTGTTGTCCATTCAAAAGCAATTGTATTGCGTTCATTCTTAATTTCTCTTGAGATGGCTGAGTTTAATGAGACTATCAGTTCTTTATAATTTGGAATAAAAAACATTGCATAATTTAGAAGGCCAACAATGCTCCTCAGTTGTTTTAAATTCTTTGGAGCAGAAATATTCGATATCTTATCTTTGTAGGACGTAGTCAAACCACGACCTTGATTCGAGATTTCAAATCCTAAATAGTTTACTGTATGTCTGGCTATTTGTGACTTTTTTAATGAAATAATATAGCCAGCTATTTTCAGTCTATGAAGAACTGTTTTCAATACATCCAAATGTTCACTTTCAGTGTCATGTGAAAAATATATATCATCTACATAGACTTCCACATTAGGAATGTCAGTTAGCAATGAAATAACATCTGCTGTAAATAATGCCGGAGAATTAATAAAACCTTGTGGTAATCTCGTCCAAACATACTGTTTACCTGCCCAGGTAAAACTAGTTATATTATAACTTTCAGGACTGATGGGATGGCTCCAGAAACCATTGGATAAATCCAATGTTGTTTTATATTTTCCTCTAAACATATGCTGTAATATGGATGGGGAATGTGTATTCTGAGCTGCTACAGGTGGTGTAACTCTATTCACCTCTCGATAGTCTAACACCATTCTCCATTTATGATCTGATTTTGGTACAGGATAGATGGCAGAATTCATGGAACTATATTGTTCCTTAATAACACCTTGTTTCAGCAGGTCATTTATTACAATCTGTATATCAGGTATTGCAAGTGGGTTAATTTTATATTGTGCCTGTTTCTTAGGTGCAAGTGTTCCTGTTGCTATATGATGACAAATATCCCTCCTGTGTCCTACTTGATTTTCCCATTGTTGAAAAACATCCTTATTCTGTACTAGAATTTCTTTTAATTCTTTTTTATTTGTTAATGAGGTGAAATTTAATTGATGTTCTATATGTGAATCAACATTAATAGGTACAGTAAGCTGTAGTGCAGGTTTTGAAACTATATCTATGAAATGTGAAACATCTTTATATGCAATTAAGAATGAAACATCCAAACTAGGATGTTCAGCCAGTTCAAGATTAACCTTCCTTCCATTAACTTTAATAGTATCATGATATAAAGGATATGTACCATTGCCCTCTAATGTTTCAATAGTAACATTAGAAAATGGATTGGTTTTTAATATGTTTTTCTGTACAAGTGAAATTTCTGCTTGTGTATCTAACACCCCTTCATATGTCCTCAGATCATATGTAATCTGCAAATCAAGATTATTCATCCTGATTTTCTTCTTGCTCTGGGTTTTGATTCTCGGTTTTCTTTATTTTTTGTATCTTTCTGGTTGTTGCTGGAGGATGTGTTGGAGGATGTGTAGTTGATGATGGGGTAGTAGAACTTTTATCTTGTCCTGTTCTGTCTCTATCCCTGACTTGTCCTGGGGATCCTCCGTAGTTGTCTGGGCCTTTAACCCTTGGTCTCAATCTATATCCTCCGCTATATCTAGGAAATTCTGAATATCTTGGGGCTTCTCCTTTGGAAGTTGACTGATATCTTTCAGTACGATCTATCTCTGTAGTCTGTTCTTTTTCCCTTTGATATGTCCTATATGAGGGACGAGAATAATCCCTGTTAGTTCCATCTATAGATGTAGATGGTCTAGATTCCCTTTTTATGAATGTAGAACTTCTCCTATCTTGTTTTTGCCTGTCTCTTCTAGGGGTAAATGCTGCATTGCTTTTCCTATCTTTGTTTCCTGCTTTTTCTTTGCTTTTATACCCCTCTCCTGTAAGATCCTTACCTAAAAGTGTGTATGTGCTCCTTAGGATTTCAGGCATTCTATCACTTTTCTCATTCTCGGTCAATCCATGCAACCTTCTTTCTATGTCAAGTATTAATGCTTGACTTTTTACTAGTGGTTTCAAGCAACCCCAAACCATGGAATGATTTCTTTTTTTTTTTAAATTCTTTATTTTTGGTCTGACGAAGAGGTCAACACAGAAATATGCAGGTGTACATATGCAAGTGACAGCGCAGTGTCGTACATTGTTACAGAATGAAAGTTGCATTGGTTATTTTAAGCATTTTACCGACACTTTATACCCTGCGGACGTCCCCGTCCGATATTTTCGGTTATGCTGGCAAGCACAATTAACTATATACAATGGTGGTAGTGTGGAGGGGTAGGCGTAGGGAGTAGAGTCGCAGTCCCAGACCTCTTGGGGCCTGTGACTGTTCCCCCGACTTCCCCCATTGTCTGCAGAGCATAAGCGTATTGAAGCCTGACTCCTCTTTCACCAGCTTGCGAGTCTGGAGTGCCTGCTTGTAATAGGTAGGTAGAGATGAGAGATAGGAAAGTATAGACAAGTAAATGCGTTTAGGTGTCGTCTTAGTATGGTTTCCCGAGGGACCAGTCGCAGAGGTCCCCGGGTTCCCCGGGTAGCACTCCATGTGGTGTGTGTGTCCGTGCCCCTGTCCCATAGTGGCGCCGCTTCCGCCAGTCCAGGCGCTGGTGTAGTATTTAGCATTGGGTATGTCCCAATTATTGCCATTTTTGCGGAGCTCCCGCATGCCGCCCTACGCCCCGATTCAGGATTTAACTGTCGTATTGCTCCCACAGGTCCCAGACCTTCTGAAACTTAGTCATAGTGTTTCGCACTTGTGCTGTTAATTTATCCATTATGTAATTGTCTCGCATTTTTGCCTTGACCAGGGCTATTTGTGGGAGGTCTGGGCATGACCACTGTTGTGCTAGGGCCCTTCGGGCCGCTAGATATAGCATGTTGAGAAGTCTTTGTTCGTGTCTGGGGAGGCCCTCTGTGGGCCTTGATAGTAGGCACGCCCATGGGTCTAGCGTCAGTCGTTGTTTTATGATTTGTGAGCCGAGCTCTACCATGTTACGCCAGTATGCCTTGATCTCTGGGCATTCCCACCACATGTGGATGTATGTGCCCCGTCCCCCGCACCTATGCCAGCAGTCGTCTGTGGGGTTCAGTCCCATGTGTTTCTGTTTTACCGGGGTCGTATACCATCGGAATAGCGTCTTATAAGATTGTTCTTGGAGTGTTACACACATTGTGGTTCTGGAGCATGCCTCCCAGATATCTTGCCACTCCGTGCCCTCCAGGACCTCCCCCAGGTCGACTTCCCATTGGTCAGTGTAGCGTAGCGTGCCCTCCCCTCCCGTTGCCCCATTAAGGTGGTTGTACAGTAGTGTTATAAGTTTAGTTTGTGTAGTTTCATCGTGACAAAGTTTTTCGAAGAAGGTTAGTGGAGTCAGGGCCGCTTTTTGCACTTCGGGCTTTTGCGCGAAGTCTCGAATCTGTAGGTACCTGAAATAGTCTCTTGTTTGTAAGGTGGCTTTGGTGCATAGGTGGTCGTATGTGACCACTTTTTGGTTCACAAATAAATGGACATAGCGTTGGAGTCCCGTGGCCTCCAGTCCCTTGTAGTCTTGCGCCCTCATGCCTGGGGGAAAATCTCTGTTTCTGAGGACCGGCGCCATGGGAGATAAGCGGGGGCTAAGGGCGTATTTAGTTTTGGTTTGGTCCCATATCTGTATGGAATTGAGTATGGCCGGGTTTGTGGTTCGTAGTATGGCTCTTTGAGTTCTAGGTGCCCATATGTGAAACTGTGGAAGGTCTTGTCCTGTCATTAATGATTCCAGATCCACCCACCGTCTCCTGTCTGGAGGTGCGTGCCATTGTATGACCTGAGTTAGCTGCGCTGCTAAGTAGTAAGCGTATAGATTAGGCAGTCCTAGTCCCCCTCTGGGTTTTGGTCGGTACATAAGTTCGCGAGCTATTCTTGGGCGTTTGTTGTGCCAAATGAAGGAATCTATCGCCCTTTGTATGCCTGCGAGGTCTCCTTTGGTAACTCGTACCGGGAGTGCCTGGAAGAGGAACAAGAGCCTCGGTAGCACATTCATTTTTATAGAGTTTACGCGTCCCAGCCAGGAGATGGGCCTGTCTGTCCACTGCTCTAGTTCAGTATGGAGGGTCCGGAGTAGGGGCGTGTAGTTTCGTGTAAAGAGAGAGGATGTATTGGCTGTTAGGCGGATCCCTAGGTACATGACTTCGTCAAAGTAGTTTCAAAGTATTCTGTGATAGCCTGTCGGGTCAATGTTTGTATGTTGTCGTCCCTCAGGAGGCTAGTGTTGAGCCTCCATGACCAGTTGGATTTATAGCATAAGTTGTCTAGCGTAAGTGTTACGTCCGCGTGATCTGACCACGTGATACTGTTAATGTCTGAGTGGAGGAGTTTGGCCATCCCTGCCCCATTAAGGAACATGTTATCTTTTCTGGAGTAGGTGTTATGTGGTGCGGAGTAAAATGTGTAGTCAGATGTGGTTGGGTGCTGCAGCCGCCAAGCGTCCAGTAGGCCTGTGTGTGTCAGGAACGTGTGTAATAGCTTATCTTGGCTCCCCCTGCTCTGTGATCTCACAGTACCAGGTTTTGAGCTTCTATCCGCCGCCGGGCTTGGCACCACGTTGAAATCTCCTCCAACGAGGAGAACCCCCCCCCTAGCCCCCGCCACCAGCATCTCTAGGTTTGTCCAGAACAGTTGGTCTGGTTCGTTGGGTGCGTATACGTTAATGATGTGTATTTTTGTGGTGTATAGAGTGCCTCCTATGTATAGGAATCTCCCCTCTGGGTCGGCTTGGATGGTGGTGACGTGTAGGGGGCAGTGTTTATGCAGGAGGATTGCCACGCCTGCTCTCTTACGTTGGGAGCGTGCTTCGTGTACTATCGTGTAGGTTCTGTCAGTTAGTCTGGTGGGCGCCGACCTGGGGAGGTGTGTCTCCTGTATCAGTGCAATGTCAATTCTTTTGGTCTTTAGGTCCCTTACCAGTAGTCTACACTTGTTGGGGGAGTTAAGACCCTTGACATTAAGGGACAGTACCTTAAGTGCCATGGGGGGGTGCGAACAGTGCCTCTGATGTTGCGGGGTCCCCGGTCCTCTCGGAACCGCGGAGCTCGGCGTGAGTGTGGTCAGTCGTGAGAACCCCTCTCGGTGGCGCGGGCGGCATCCCGGCTGACAATTTGGGTAGCAGATCAATACTTGTCTTAAGAGATAGTGGAAGGAAAAGAGGGAAATGGTGAATGTCAAAGAACGTTTTTAACATACATGCATGTAAACAAATATCATGAACACATGAAAACAATCTGGTCTTAACCTGTGCCAGATTAAGGTGGGGGCGTTCACCCCTTCCGAGTGGCGTGCAGAAAGTCACCTCTCGGAGTTGGTGATCTCCCCGCGTCTGTCCACTATGGTGTGGTGGGCAACCCACATTGCTTCACCGCCCACAGTCTAGGGTGATTCAGTGGGGCGGTAAGCCACTGTGTCCGCCCCTGCGTGCCCTGTGTTTTTCACCCTGGCCGCTTTACCGCGGCACCTGTCCCCGGTTCCTGTTATCACACGGGTCATAGGGGTTTTACCCTGAAGTGAAGTGAACCCCGGTCCCATTTGGGTGGAGGATGCCTCAGGAGGGTTTTGTTGTTTATTTAGTTATGTTTATTTATTTATTTTTATTATTTTTTATTTATTTATTTATTTATTATTTATTTTACTTTTTCCTAGCGTGCTGCTGTGCGTCTGCTTCAGCCAGATTCGTGTGTGTTTGGTATGTAGTCTATCTGCTCTCCCCTCCCCCCCCTCTGGTATAACATCCCCAAAGCTAGTAGCTGGGCCATGAAGAGGGAGACTACGAAAAAGAAGAAAACAATAACATTTCAAGGAAATAAATGTGCATTAGAGTAAAGTGGTAGCAGGGATGGTTTTGCGTAGTATAGTGTCCCCTGCTGTAAACTTATCTGTCCCGCGTGCGGACAATGCCGCTATGAGGTCTGAGGATGTAGTCCAATTTTCGGCTTCAGTTCTCCTGGGCTGCTGGTGCCGCAATCGTATACCAGTCCCTCGGGAGAGGTTTGAGGGCTTGTCGGGCGGGTCCTGGTAAAGCAAAGTCCCGTGGAGGGGTGATGTCCAGGTCCCGGAGAAATTTACGTGGGTCTCCTCCCGGTAGGTAAGTGGCTGTTCTTCCTGCTTTAAAGGCCACAATTTTAAATGGGTGGCCCCAGGTGAAGCGGATTTCATGTTGCCGCAAGAGATCTGTCAGCGGCCTCCAATCCCGTCGTCTCTGCAGTGTGCTTGGAGCCAGATCTTGGTATAGGGAGATGGGTTTGCCTTTATATGTGAACTCGTGGTTTCTGTTGTGCCTCAGGAGTGCCTCCTTGGTGGTGTAGTGGTGGAAGCAGATGATAATGTCTCTTGGCACGTCTGAGTTCAAGCGCCGGGCGCGCAGAGCCCTGTGCGCCCGGTCCATCGCCCATTGGGCCTTCGGTATGTCTGGTAGTATGCTGCTGAAATATGCCTCCATGATGGGCGCGAGGGGGCCTTCTTGTGTTGCCTCCGGCCATCCCCTGACGCGGAGATTATTCCTCCTTGTGCGATTGGATAGGTCCTCCACTTGCATTTCTAGCTCGCTGAGGTGGTGATTTAGGGATGTGGAGTGCTGCACCATCGCGTTATGGCCTTGTACTATGGCTTCCATGCGCTGCTCCAGTTCTGAGGTGCGGGCGCCTAGGGCCTGAATTTCGGCCTTGATATCCAGTGTGCTGCGCGTGATTTCGCCCGCCAGAAATGTTTTAACTTCCGCTAGTTGTTGCAGGATTTGTGTGGTGTTATCGCCGTGGTGCCCAGGCTGGCCCCTGTCTGTTTCTGCTGAAGGGGATTGCGAGCCTCGGGCGCACGTCCGGCGGCCATCTTGCGCGGCCTGAGTGTTTCTCGTGGCCGCGAACATGTCGGCCACTGTCGGGGATGAATCGGGTGGTTCCCCTCTTTTTTTCCTGCGTGGGGTGACTCCAGGGCCCGTGTGGGACATGTAAGTGGCTGTTTGTGGGCGCGATGCTTATTGCAGGTGCTGGATTGAGCGTGGATGCGCGGGAGCTCCCTTGCTAAGCTGCCATCTTCGTCGGCCGCCAAGCCACGCCCCCCCATGGAATGATTTCTACTTGTGAATCTCATCCCTAAATTATATGCTGCTATAATCCCTGACTTTGTATTCACTCCCGCCAGTGTGTCTGACAGTGTAGAAATCGTCACTTTGCCATAAGTCTTTTCATATAGAGTGGATATTACAATATCCCAGTTTTCAGCTTCAGCTTGTGTAATTGACAGTCCAGAGGGCAGTAATGCATTTACTAGCCCCTGTCTCTGAACTGCAGTTTGAGTTGGGTAAACCCCATCTAACGCATGTGTTTTTTCATTAAGCCATAATGCTATTTCCTTAGCAGATGTTGGTACTGTGCCAATAGTAGCTTTAATATTAGACATAGGAATACCCTGTATTCCTGTCCCCACTGTGTGAACTATAGGAGCACTAACAATTGGTGCTATTAACGCCTGTCGTAACAAGTCTCTCAAGAAAATAATTTCTGGCATTAACCTCTCTCTTTCTGCTCGTGCAGACTGTGCAGGTGCCGGTAATTCATGGCTGTGTACGGGAACATATAGTAATCCCCTACCTATACCCCACTGTCCTGGGACTAATGGGCCATGTCTTGCTGGTGTAT